GAGCAAGCCACTGGAACACTGCTGTCGCACGTCGAACATTGCAGCAAAGGCTCTCTGCAAAGCAGCCTGGAGGCACGAAGACTGAAATTCTGCAAAGGCTGGCAACAGTTTGGGTCCTTGCCTCACCACGGGCGACACACCCATGGGCGCGCTCCGATAAAGGTCGGGGCCTGAGGAGTTGAGCACTGCATATGGGAGGGGTACCCGCTGGAAGGGGAGAATTAAAGAAAAGAGCTCGAGCGTCGCAGAAGATCTGGCCTCCATGAATCTGAGGCTGCAGCCGTTTTTTGCTAAGTAGTCAAGGAGAAAGCTCCTTTCGTGGGAAATGCAACCGAAAATGTCGACAGCGCAATCCGCACCCTCTGCCACGGCGTGATTCTGCAAATCGCTCATCTGCTGGTTTTTGGCTGTTGCAACCGACGTCAGCGGTTCCTAATACCGTCATGAATTGCAAACTACCACGACGATTCTCTCCTCATCTCTTCCTTCTGGTGGTCGGAAACGGACGTCCAGTGCGACGTGATCAGCTGGCGAGGGATTGTGCGGTGATGTAGTGCTGCAAGCTGGGTGGCCAGGAACGATAACAAACCGAGCAGCCACACCTTCATCAAGCCTGTTGCCGCGAAGATCAAAGCATGCGGACCTTACAGCGTCTGGGGAGTCGTCCAAAGCTTGCGAATCTGGCCGCTTGATTTGATGAGTCCCCCACTGCTGGTATGCGCCAGAACAAACTGCAGCTGCGGCATGCACCTTTAATGCTGAAGCCACCCACACGCATCCGTTGTGCAAGCAAGGGTCGCTTAAGGCTGCAGCTGTGGATTCTGCACCAATGGTAGGAGTGTCTGGTGCGCCTGTGCTCTTTCAGCCTGCCGGCACCGCGAACAAGAGGGAAAACAGAGGGAAAACCGCTGGCAAGCCAAAGATACGGAAATGGTCACAGGGTCTGGACTCGTTTTTTGATTAAGAACACATCACTGCCTCAGAGCGTGCGTTGTAGAGAGCATTGCACATGCTCTCCAACTGAGCCTGAGGAAGCGGAACAATTTCACAAAACACCACCCTTGGCAGCAGGCCTGATCACTGCTTCAATCACTCACACACACACACACACATATATATATATATATATATATACATGTGTATATATATATATATACAACCATACATATATACATATATACGTATATACATATAAACATCTATACATCTACATACCTACATATCTAAATATGTACATATCTACACACCTACATAGCTACATAGCTACATATATACATATAGACAAACAAGTCTAGACATCTTGTGTGCAATCTTTACATATATGTATACTACATACATACATACATATATATATATATATAGATATATATATTGTATTTACATATACATGTATGTATGTATGTATGTATGTATGTATGCATGCATGTATGTACATATGTATGTGTGTGTGTACTATGTAGTGCTCGTCCGAGGTGGATGCCAGTTGGGCCGGCTCCATGCTTGGCCTTCGCACTGCATTGGGCCGTGAGGTTGCGAAGCGCGAAATTGAATGTGCGTGTCTGGGCTGCGAACGGAAAGGGCCACAGCGAGCTGCTTCAAGCAGTCATAGACGTGTTGTTGACTATGCACGGGTTTGCAGATAAACTTTTCTGTTTCTGTGAGACTCTGGCGGACAGCCATAGTGTGAGTGCTTCAGTGGTTCCATGTGGGGCCGGTCACAGGCTGGAAGCTCCAAGCGAAGCGGCTGTATCAGGCCATACTTGCTCCGAGCAACTTGCTCTGGCATGCATATCTGGAATATGCCATGTCATGATGCAACCTAAAATGATGGTTCAAACTTGACGTGCGTGCGGGCGGGCAGGCAGGCAATGACTCGTCAAGCATGTTCTCTCTCGTCTATCCTGCGAAAATACTCACAGAGTGCACTGCCGTGGAGAAGGCCAATCGGACCTCTCCCAAAGTTGCCAGAAAGGAGATCTCATTCCTTAGCCATGTCCGCTCCAGTCGCAGCAGAAGCTATGGTCTTCCAAAAACTGTAACAAGCATGCTACAAAAGCCGAGCAGCTGTGCTTCGAAGGCCGGAGCCCTGAGGAGGAACTGCCAACAGTAGTCAAGACCTCAAATGCTCGGAAGGATTTCCTCTGAATTGGGCATCGGTGGTCCTTCTTCTGTAACCTGGATGCAACTCCTGGCAAGCCCAAGGCGCGCTTCTGGGACTGAGGATGGCACGATTTGCCACCGTTTCGGCAGAGCTTGAAGTGTCCATTGACATGGTAAGCAGCCACTGCTTCAGCTCCTGGCCGACTTTTCTGCATAGTGAACACTGACCACAGAATCAACAAGACGCAAGGCGGCAATGGCCAAAGCAACAACTGCCGGCTGGATGGACGACCAACACATGCCTCCGCCTTCAGATACCAAAATCACTGTACAACAGTTGGTCCAATCTGTTCATCAAAATATCACTATAAACTTGCCAGTTCAAGCCATCTCCTGTTCTTGTGTGTACGAATCACCGTGGATATACACGACTGACTCAAACAACTGCATGCCAGCCTAGCAAGAAGCTTTCCTTCGCTCTTTTGGCGCCTCCAACACACGCGTCCTGGTGTCACCGACGTGCTCCGCACCTCAACTTGGAACATACAACTCGAGCCTCAACTATCGGCGACAATACGGTAACCACCCAAGACCACTGACTCCCAGGATGCGGACTGCTGGAAAGGTACATGAACCGATGTCGACGTTCCTCGACACCCGTGCAAACAATGCTAATTCGTCTTAACGACAACGCAACCCGCACCTTCTGGTACCGCTCGATGGCACGTATTGCTGCAGCTGCCTGGCAGACTCTTCATGCTTTGCATACCAGGCTCTATCATCGGAAACATGTCAGTCACGTTGGCATCCACACCGGCCACACTTCCAGCGAAGGTTGCCCGCTCGGCAGACTCCTCGGACCTGAGAAAAAACCAGGAAAGGGGAAGTGGGCAAAACTCACGAAACACTTAAGACGATCACAATTCTGCGTGGAAGAATCGCTTGTACAATTCTGACGCAATTCTTTCCTGCAACAGACACTACAATTTTCGAAAGTTTCGCATTAAACTTTGGCGTGCCTCCTGCCGTTCTTTCTCATGCCTGGCGCCACCAAGGTCGACGATTCTGAAACTTTGGTCAAGTTGCTCAGGCGCTCAGGCACGGGCTTGTTCCGAGCAAAAACTGCAATAGCAGCAGAAGCAGCAGCAACCTGATCTCACGAAACTTGCGCTTGGCACTCAGGACCACTAACTCACTCCGCAAAGCCTCCAGCACACCAGTCATTGCCACTCTTCACCGATCTGAGCTTGCAATTCTGGAAACGGCAAGCCGATTAGTAGCAGGTCAGGCCTGTGCAAGCGCCCTCCCTACAGAGAGACATGTCCACATCAGGGGACGCCCGCCAGCACCTCAGCGCTCGCATCGCTTCGCATCGCTTCGCATTGCATCGCTTCACATCGCTGGGCTCGACGTGTTCTGGGCCGGCGGCCGCCGCCGCGCAGCACTGCCGGCATGGCATCACTTTCCTTTGAGCCAGCGAAAGAAGACTTCAAAGGCAAGACATATCCACGCACTGGCGGCTCACTTGTACATCACTTGTGCAATTGGCACCTTCGGTATCATTCAGTGCGCAAAGCGGTCAGCGAAAAGTATACGGTGTTCGAACCACATGTCGTGCAGACCGGAAGACACAGGGAGACGCGATGTGACAAACTGCGGAGCAAACCACAGCCCGAAACATGGTCTTATGCATTGGATGCAAGAATGCTGACATTGTCCGGGATCCCACAGTCAGTCACAATGTGCGGAAGAAAGTAAAAGTATTTACACGCAGCGACAGGTGCTGCGGGACTACGTCTTTACGTCTCAGACTTCCGGTGACGGCTTCCTACAGCTCGGAGACTGCAACATCAAGCACTTCTCGATCTCCCACCGGAAGGGCGTGACGACGGGCTTTTTTATTGGTACATACGCAGCTCACTCAGTTTTTAACACCTGGATCAAAGACTTTGAGCCTCGCAGCTCCTGGGGAAGTGGTCTTTGGAGACTACTTCATCGAGCTGCGCGGCTTTCGCATTGGGTTTGTTGTCCACAACCACGTTGAAGATGACTTGACCTTCTTGCATCAGGACTTCTTTGACGGGAACGGTCCATTGTTTCCACTTCCCGGAATCCACCTTCTGCCCATGCCGGTTGCAGGCCCGGCAAGAAGGCGATCTCTCGCATTCCCTTCTCCCATCCAGCCATTCCAATCAAGTCTCGGACCGTTATGGACAGATTCGTTTCCCACCCAAATCTGGGGAGTCAGCTGCTGATGTGCCCGACATGTCTCCGCGTCCCATGGACCCTTCCCACTTCCACGAACGAAGGACGCCGTCAACGTGCCTCAACCCGCTTCTATGGTAGTCCGCTCTGCCTTGCATGAGGACACACACACACACATACATGCAGAGTACCCACTTTGAGAGCGAGAGAGGGAGAGTCAGAGAGAAAAAAAGGGAGGGGGGAGCCCCGTGGAATTTCATGGAGAGTATGCATAGGTTGCAGCCACGGTTCCGAAACCATGAGACAAAAGTCGTCCGAGCCCAGACGAAAGCTTCCAATCTGGATGAACTGGTGCCTTTCACGTGTTCCTTTCCTTTGGGCTTCACAGGCGCGGATCGCACAAAATCATAAACGGGCCCCAAGACTCCGCCCAAAACCCGGGCGACTTCCGAGGATTCTCCTGGATTCGACTCCCCTGCCTGTTGTGGGAGCTCGTTGGCCCTTGCCCAGTGTTTTCACGATCCTGGTCGAACTCGTGCACATGATCAACTTCGGCCAGCGTCGCAGTTCCGGCTAAGACTGACTGCACAGGCCAGAGCAGAAGTCCTTGTTCGTGATCGTGAGCTCCGAAGTCGATGAACGTTGGATGCGTGCCGCATTGCATACACTTGAGGGCCTGTGGGAAGCCATTTTCTCCTCTGGCGCGACTTCAGCCACTGCACCCATGGATATCCAGAATTTGGACCAACTTGGACTGGGCACCTCAGAGGCTCGTCTGGGGGCTGGGCCCCAGACCTTCATATGTACAGCGACAACTGCTGCCTCGGAAACGTTCCTAAACTCAACAGAAGCAACAGCAAGCTCTAACAAGGAGATGCTCAGGTAATCGCTTTACGGGGGTGGAAAGCAAAAGAAAAGAAAGTGCCGGCCTTCAAAGACGTCCCAAAGTCCCTGGAAGCCTCTGCGAAACCTTTGCAACGGGACATTTTGCTTTCGCAGAAGCAAAGAGCATTCTCGAAGGCCGTCGTGCTTGTTGCACCCGAGAAACGACTACTAGTACTCGTACTTACTGCTGTTGTTTCGAGTAGGAGTAGCAGCCAGTGCAAGCGACCAGTGTTCGTCGTGCTTCTTCCTTAGGAAGAAGACGAGGACGAAGAGGAGGAAGCCGACGCGGACTCAGAGGATCCCACCGAATGCTTTTTGGCTTGGCGGCAACAAAAAGAAAGCGAGAAGCAACACGAACAACCAAGCCAGCGGCACATACTTGGAGAGCTTGGAACGATGCGAATTGCAGATCACATCGCCCCGCGTAAGCGGGCCACCAGTCCTTCGAATCAGACCAAGGCATCAAATGAAGGCAACAACAGCGAGCCGAGGCGCCAGCGTTTTGGTCATCCGCAGTTTTAGTGCGGAGCGAATCAATCTTTTTTTGGTCGCACCGTGAGCAGCAACATCCATCTGAACACAGAAATCACAATCTTCAAAACAGCTAATGCACGAAGAACGGCCTTTCCACACAGACAGCACTTCTTCTTTGGAAGTGCAGCGCGAAATGTCGGACCTGAGAAGATTTTTTGGAGCACCAGAATCCGAGTGCAAAGCGAAGCTTCGTCTTCAAGGACGTCAAAATGGCTGGAGGAAGTCCCTGCGACAACAGCAATGCGAACTTTTGCAGACATTGATTCTGCGCCTCGATCCAGCTCACA